ACTCTTACAAAGTGTAACAACTTAAGAACATCAACAAAAGTAATTAGAATAAAATATTTTATACTCGTGTGTTGCATGTCATTGAATCGCACCCGATTTGATCAAGAGCTTCTTAAACGAGACACGCCACCAGTAATTTTCATGCATACACCTATGAGCGAGTAATTGCTAATTTGAATAATGACTGCATAAAATGCTATTTTACTTGATGGAACATACGTCCTTTACCAAAGTCCAAACTCTGGAAATTGTTCTGGATTATATTTTCTAAGTTATTCGCATGTCTTCTCTCAGACAAAAATTTCACGGAATGCTGATAATAGCATGCGCAAAAACAGGCCAGTATGAGCCAGAATGTCCGTAGGATAATCAGAATAAATCACGCTTAATAAGTGGCGATTAAACGACACGAATATTCATATAAATAACTAACAATAAGTAATTGGCTTCTAATGTAAATTGTAAACCTTACGTTATTTCATTGAACCAATATATCCCGTGTAAAACAAAATCGAGTCAACTTAACATGGTTAATGTTCATAGCGTGATCGTTGCCGGTGGTAGCGAACACGTGTAAAAACGGTGAACACATGCTAACGTGCTGCGATTCGGTGTTTCACATATCGACCCCCCATGAATCCGTACAAATCGAAAATTAGATCCAGACTGGGTCGCGAAAGCTTCTCGAGAGAAAAAAGAAAGGGAGAGAGAGGGTGCTTGGTTATTCGCGGGGCTCGTAATTGGAGTCTGGAATCCTGAAATACGAGGCGGACTCTGGGCCACCTGTCGAAATGGATCGCAGAACGATCTCGATGGAACGAGGCGGTTGCGAAACCAGTAAAAAGAGAATTCGCGCGAGATATATGCGATATATATATAACGTGAACACTAGGATCAATAAAGAATGTAGGCGTACGACTATCGAAATCTAGAAAAATATTGAGTGTGCTACGAGGAGGCGGTTATCGACGAAATCTCGATGAGAAACTTTAACGGTATGCGAAGACCGGTTGAGGGACCCGTAATGGCAGAACAGCGTTGAATTTACCGATCGAAGTTACCGGTGAAGTTTGTCGCTTCCATGCATAAACCGTTGGCGTATATTGTTATCCAAAAAGTATTGTGACATGAATCCATTTCACCGTTTTTGTTATTAACTCATTTGAATAAATATATGTATTTCCACAGCAGCGAAACACGGCCTCACGTGAAGAGACGCTTGCATTGTTGCAGATATTGTGTCATTTTTATGCAAAGCTAGTCGAACTACATATACAGTAACTTTCTCAAAAAATACAGTTTGCTACGAAGCGTTGGCGTAAAATTACAAACCTCTCTATTTGCGTCACTAGTGTAATAACATAAATTTACTAACATTTCAGTTTCTTTAATAATATACTTTCTTATCCGAAAATATAATGCTCCAAATAATTATTACTTGTCAATGAAATGATAAAAAAGAATAAGATCAATATATTCATTTCCGCTTTGATATCACTATTCATTATTCAATACGAAATTCTTAAAGTTGATCAAAATAAAATATATGCTTCAATTATCACATAAATCACATAAAATTTCAATATTTAAAGAAAAAAGGAAAAATATCCAGAGTGAAGACTAATATATCGATTTCCCATTTAATATGATCGATCGAGTGATATTCGCATATTGTAAATTGACAAAAGTTTCTTCAGAATTAACAGAATTATAAATACGTATTCAATAATCCTAATCTTATTATTAATATATCTGTTACATATATTATTCTGCTTTTTAAATCTCACGTACGTGACTAAAATTGCACAAGGAATACGACTATCCTTTAACCGCGCATTCCAAACGGATCGCAATAGAATCTAACGAGATTAAATGATCGTATAGTATCATCTATGAGAGAAGTTATGACTCCAAGCGAAAAGCTTATCGTTTTGTTCTTATTTTCGTTTATGTCTAACAGTCGATCGCTTTTGAAACGGTAAAGCGATGAAGCGAGCATACACTAAGCCGCCGTCGTATATTAAACCGCGATCGTGGATAATATGTGAGAGGTGAAGCAGATGTTGCGGTCGGCCCGATCGCGAAAACAGTGGCGGATGATCGCGGTTTCTTACAAGGGAGAGGAGATAAATTGTGTTTTATATGATCATGATACTGAAAAAAAAGTGTGTGTTACATCAATACAGTCATTTGATCAACCGAAATCACTGGCAGATCTTAATAAATATAACTGTTTATATATAAGTAAATATAATAAAAAATGAAATAATTCCTACCGGGGATTCCATTTCGAATAATTTTATAATATATGCTCAGAATACAACAAAACGAACAAAAAATTAACTGTGCCTTTAAAGTTCAACATTGCCGGCGCAGAGGATTAAGATAAAATCTAATACATTACGGAAGATATCTTGCCAAACGTTTGCACTTGATCAACCAAAATAAAAACCAAAGGAACCAAAGGAAAAATGCGATATACAGTTAAACATAATTTCTACATCATTAAAATTTCAGTTGCTAATGAGAGAGAGAAGATTCACAAAAGATATTAACTCTGACATACAGGTTGAAGAGACTACCTAACTAGCTCGGTCTGTTCATAGATCAAAACAATTTACTGAGATAACTGTAACAGGGAACTCGCGCATGCTGGCCGACATTAACACGCAGTGGTCAATCTCGGCGTGGGATGATTGATAACTCTCTTGTAAGCGTTATCAGCCGCAGCGTGCACGCTGTTATGTTCACATCAGAAACGTGACACTGATAGACGGGCTTTACCATTTCTCCTCTCTTTCGCTCCTTCCTTTTGACTTTCTAGTCGCAATGTAACTTGTTGCCTTTAATTCGAAGATACATGTCGACGTGTTAAACGCGCCCCACTCTATGTTCTAAGCCCAACCAATTTTCGATTCTTATTCGTCTATTACAAGGACAAATTAATTTTGTTCAGAAATATCTATTAGTTTTATGAATTTTTATTTAAATATTAGAATCCTAGATATTAACAAAATTTTGCATTAAAATAATTTAACCGAGAATATTAATGATAATTTAAAAACTAAGACAATTTAATCAACAGAATATTTATTCGTACTTTAAAATTAGATGTAGAAAGACAGCCTTAATTTTTTAAATTATTCATATAAATTGATAAAATAACTTTCGTATTAAGAAATGTTTAACTTTTTTTCTGAATTATAAATTCTGCGCAAAAAATCTCTTCCCTAAAAATACTTTCTTGTTTAATCATGCTTAATTACGGACGTTGTCCAAAAATTATTAGCTTCCAAAAGTTTGCCGACCTGTCCAATATCCCCCTATCGCTACCTGAGCTACCTTACAATCGTGAAGAAGCAGCATTAACGGCGCATTCGTATGCAGAGTCGAGTACCAGCTCTCGATCACGGGCGGCTCCTTCTCCCTTGAACGACTTCCTCTCCCTTGGAAGCCCCTTTTCCAAGCTCGCCGGGCCCTGAGCGATTGCAGTGTCGACAACTTGAAGTACATATAAACTCATGTATGCGTAGGTAGACCGACGGCACGAAAAGCCGCGTGACAAGAGCGTAATGAATCTACCTCTCCGAACGAGCATACTTAGGATGGTCTTAAGATAGAAGCACTGCTCGGCGGAATTCGAAAACTGCACGCGATTAATGTCGCTGCAACGAGCGAAAATGTAAACGAAGTCGTTGCGTTGGTTCGAGTGATGCGAAGCGCGCATTACGACGTCCCTTTCGCGGATAATCCTGCGATCAGCGGGACCTAATTATCCCGTTCTCTCGTTTGTAATTCCGCGGGCGTTCGTCGCTAATCTCCATTTCAATGTTTAAAATCGCGTCGGCCGGAGGGAATCGTCGCTATTAAGACCTTGAGTAAAGACCGATCAGAAACATTCTGTGCGGGTTTAAGATATTTCACGATAACACGACGAACCATAAGACCCGACTAATGAGCGTGGAGTGAGGAAAGGAAACCGCTCGGTGGCGCGCAGTTATCTCACTCGAAGCTCGCGTTTCAGCAAGAAACGGCTATGCAAACAACCGAGAACTGGTCGAGAATCGTTCGGCAAGTGTGTAAGTATACTCTTCAGACGGAGGCTGCGAGAAATCATCGGCGACCGACCGCGAATCGTTCAATCGCCGCCGGTCGCGCCCGAAGAACGATTCTCCGACTAATCGGCTGATCCGTACCGAGAAGAATCTACCTCCGTCGTCTCCATCATGTGCTCGCTCGCGGCCGCCGTTTCTTCGTAATAAACTTGCGGTGCGATTCTCTTAATTATGTTCGCACGGACGATAATCTCAGGCCTCGTTAAGTGCGCGAGATCGCTGCTGGTGCACGTCTGAGATGAAACGATTTCAGCGGGGATAAGTGGGATAGGTAAGGGACGCAGAATGCTTTCGGTAGGTGTGCGGCAGGAATAATAGCGAAGGACGCCTAATAAACCTGCGAGTGTCCCGCTGCGCGGAAACGGGACGCGCCGGATGAGACTGTGAGCCAATTATGGGGCGCCCGCACGTACCGCGCGAAGATCTCGAGAGTCGATTTATATGATGCTCGTGTTGCTCATATATATATATATGTATATATATATATGCTTGGCAAAGGCCCAGGCTTGCCTGAAGAAATTACGACAATGCGGCAGGACTAAAACCGAAAACAGCGACAAGTCGACGCATTCTTTAAGTGTCAGATTTTTTAGCGACAACAGATTTATACACTTATACTTCACATCTATTACCGTTGAAATATAGAAATCTACAAGTTCTGACTAGCCTTCGCTCTTAATATTTTCTGATATTTCTTGTTATGAGATCGTATATTTTAAGCTACTAAATTTTAAAGGAACTTTGCGTTCTTTTATGATAAATGTGAATTTGTAAGATAAAAATAAAATCATAATTTATTATATTACTGTTTCAATACAGTTGTAATAAAAAAATTTCAACTATATATTATATATTAAATCTATAACTTTTGATTTTTTTTTACAGAAGCTCCTGGAGAACTTGGATGGGTGCTGACTCTTGTGATAGTGTCTTTAGTATCAGCCGGTATCGGCGCAGTAGTGATGATGACTCTGCTCCATTGTCGAAGGTTAGTATAATTTTTTTCAAAAAGCATATATTTTTCATTAACATATAAGTGAGAAAAGAGAAATGATCGAAAATTGCCTTCATACGGAATTAATTATCTCTTTCTTGTTAAATTTACTTATTGCTGAATAAAATCAATCAGAGTTAATGGCCGTTTAAATTGAAATTCTATTGCAAGCTACCCAGTGCAATTTTTACGGAGACGCTGCTGCTTCTCTCGAAGGCTTTGCGAAGAACGATCAAGCATTACGATACGGATCATCGCGCCGACAGATTCGCGAAACGATCGCGGTTTCATCTTACAGCTGCACGCGGTTGATTCTCTTAAATTACCACCTACCAGCGATACGTAATCGAACGAGTCGATCGACACTAACTGTAAGAACGAGGATGAAGCGATCGCTAACTAGATTGATTCGGTGCGAATCCGGCAAGTGACAGACTAACGTCAAAAGAGCGAGAAGAGAGGAAGGAAATAGTACACGAGCACCATTACGAAAGAATCATGACTGTCTGTGGTCAGATCTCGATTAGAATTCCTGGGTAGCCAGGAAACGAGAATTTTCGTGATCGCAATCTCATCCTCCTCTACGTTCTTCTCATAGTAGATGATTTATTAAACTTGATTGCTAACTTACATGTTTCTTCACTTATAATTTTTACTAAAAATGATCATATGGAATAATTTAGAGCATTCATTTTTAATATATTGATTATCTTATTATATATATATATATATGAATAATCATTGATGACTTATGTTCAATAAAATTTTTGTTGTTATTTTAAAGTAATTAATTTCTCAAAAAAATCAAGTATATTATTATCATATTTATCTTTATAAAATAATTGCTAACAAATATTTCTCATATTCATCAAAATTTCTATTTAATCTGTTACAGGATAAAAAGTGCTGGTGGCAGAGGTAAGCATAGTTTCATCAAAATATACATGCTCCTTGTAAAACTTCAAAATATTACTTCGAAATGTTACGATCGGTTACCTTTCGCTCATAAGTTGATATTCATAGTCATTCTTATTTCAAGATTATAATGATTTAAATGGTCTCTTAAGAAATTAATATGGTTCTTGACTCATTTATGATCATACAATCATATGATTACATCTTAAAATTATACTTAAGAAAAGTATATATAAGGTCTCAAAGATAAGAATGGACTATGAATACCGGCCAGACGATTTTAACGTACATAATGTAACGTAGATTTGTACGAAATGAGTCTTGTCATACAAATGTGAATCAGTCTATAAAAATAATTTATAAAGAAACTTGATACATAGGGTTACGATTAGGGAATAAAGGGAAGTCTGGGATTTACTGTCGAGAGGCAGGCTAGCTTCCCAATTATGTCGAATTAACATACCATGTTCGGCGCGATGGGTTCACGCTGACAGGTCAGGTTCGAAATGATTCCCAATTATCCGAGTTCCCCTACTGAGTTACCTGCTCGCGGATCCCTTTTATTCGTTGGTTTCTTCATCACTCATTAATATACGACATACACATTCACAATAATACTATCTTGAATATGCTTTATAAGAGACCCCACAAAAGGTACCTTCAAGAACACTTTGTCATGTCATAAACTTCAAGTAGAAAAAAAAACCGCAAGATAGACGGAAAAAACATTCCTAAGAAAATGATATCAAAGTGATACGAATCGAAGAGATATGTGATATTGAAAATTACATCGCGTTGCGATGTGACGTATTATTTACCATATTAATTAATTTTAACTTTACATTTTCATTACGGTGTTAAATATACAGATGTGCTTAATGACATAATAGACTGCGAGTCAATAATGCTATTTCCTTTAAAATTAGCTTAGTTTCAAGCAGACACATCGCATGTAGGAGTTTGTGCGTATTTGTGACTGTTAAATTCAATTACATTGCTCGAACTTAGCAGTCATAATATTGTGTATACACTACACCTATGGCTACGTTTACACCGTGCGCTTAGTCCGCTACCTATATAATAGGTGTCTTTGTTTAACCTACAGGATAAACAAAGATATCTATGCCCGTATTCATAGTCAAATCTTATACTTAAGGCTTCCTTAAATTTATCTTTAGATGCTCAGTAGTCAATGAAATAATTCGTAGAGCATCTGAAGATAAATTTAAGGAAGCCTTAAATGTAAGGCTGACTATGAATACGGGCCCTATTGTATAGGCCATGGCCTAAATGCACGGTGTAAACGTAGCCTATATGCGTCGGAAATACAACTAACTTCAAGCGGAAAGACATTATTGAATCCCAGTAACGTAAAATATTCAATAAACTATCTGCTCATATTAATCTTTTATTGCGTGAACTCTAAAATAGGGTGTCGTCTATAGTATGTTTATAGTACTTTGTACGATCCCGAAAAAAATAGGGCAATAATCAATCGAATCGATAAACGTGACATTTCGAAAACGTGAGACACGCTCTTAAGGTACCGTGTATCTTATCAAGAAATAAAGGGGATACCTTTCTATATATAGTTCGTGTTCACGGTGGTAGACTCACGATGTTCGTCGTCTCACGTACGACAAAGTCGTGGTTCCAGACGGTGAAAGGATTAGGACGAAAAGGGTGAACCCCGCATTGCGCGGAGACCTCATACAAACAGAGTACAAGAACATGTGCATGCACGACGGTGGGTTGACGACGTGTGACGATGGACACGTTGGCGCGAAAAGGAAAGAGAGCAATACCATCATGGCATCGAGTGCCAGCATCAATTGGAGTTTAATTAGTTCGCATAATGCAAACCGCTCACAGCGATATAAACGGTGCATTCGTGTGCTGCATGTTTTCTGTCGTGCTTAAAGGATATAACCGAGCAATACGATACGATGCGACGTAATGCGATGAGACGCGACAGACGGATGACTGCGGCTGGGCGACATTAAACACGACGAAACGCGTCTAATTAACTTTCTGATTTAAAATCAACCGCGGCACGATACGATCGACGAGCGAACGGCGGCAGACGTAAAAAGACGATGAGCGAGCGGAAAGACAGAAGGGGATACTGCCTGGGATGTAGGGGTCACCCGAATTAATTATCCGACACTCGTTTCATTGAACCTCTTGAATCACTATCGGGTTTTCGTGGCATGATTTGTGCCAACCTTAAACTAAAACCTATATGATCTAAAACTATCTTGATTACAAAGCATCACTTAAAAGTTCATTTTGTACGATTTAAATATATGGAACATATTAAAAAGATATTTTTATCAAACTTTCAAATATTTAAGAACAGAGATCAACATTTTTAAAAATTATCAATATTTTTTATTATCGCATTTTTTCGTACTATAAGAGCATTTTAAAAAACATGTAAGCGAAAAAAAACATATTTTGAAAATTTAGTTTTATAATTGATCACAATTAAATGGAAGTAGAAATTTTTGGTAATGATAGTATTATTAATTTTCATTCCCTTCGCATATAAATAATCGTCCAAGGTGGTCCGCGTGGAGCAATTTGAATTTGCAACCCGTATGAACGCGTAATTTCGTCGTTCTCGCCCCAGGGGCGAAGTCTCTAGTCCGGTTTTAGAACGGATAACTGCTAAGAGAGGCACAAACAACCAAGATACAATTACACGTTAAGACGGGGTGATTTATTGCTACCTCTTAAAACAACAGGGTCTGTTAATCGCGTAATAATATGTATATGTAGAAGAGAAAATTTCTCAACATCAAAATAAAATTCTAGTGTTGTAAAGAATAAAGAGATCTTATAGTGATTTTAATGCCCATAAACGACTTACTTTCCTATGGCAAGAGTAAGACCTTGTAAAAATATTGATTCGAATAAAATGTATGTGCGTATAGATATATTATACACACATAAATATATATTACTTTATTAAAAAAATTTTTTCAAAAGCTTGTCAAAGCTCTAACGTCATCCTCAAAATAATCAATTTGTGCACAGGATATCGTACATGACTGACTTATATATTTCAATTACGTATTCTTATAAAAATTAAATGTAATCAATTGTAATATGAAAATATCAATTAACTTCCGGGTGATAAAAATTAATATATTAAGGTACACAATATATTAAAGTTCGCGCGTTTCTGGATAAGAGTAACAAATAATATAATAAATAATAAATTATTTACCTCACAGTTGCTCCGTTCCATCCCGATGCCTCCCAGGTCTGCTCTTCCTCTCAGATTCCTTCGTTGCACACACAACACTCGCGCGAGACATGATTAATTATAATACACAATATCGCGTGACACTCCCGAGCTTAATTGTACGCGACGCGTAATTTGTGAAATATGCGAGAAAATATTATTAAACGATCGGTATATCACGGTTATTTTAATCACTCGTGTTGACACTGTTGACACTGTTGAGCAGGTTATTGCTTCATTTTATCAACCTGAAAGTAACGACCAAATCACATGTAAGTCAACAGTTAATTCTACGTGTTTTTATAAAATAATATTATCACAATAAAGAGAAAGTTTACACGAAATTGTAACTCCCATTCGTTTTTGCTTTTATTTTAATACAAATAAATCGCGTGAATGATCTGTACAGTTATAAATTAATCTAATATTGATGTATCGCATATTAATATCGTGCATTTTCAACTTGAAACGGTAGATAAATTACACTTGCATCATGTTTTGAATCTTTCACATAAGATATATCCATGAATCTAACCTTGATAGAAATTTCATACATTTTTTTAGTATAATAGTTATTGGACAATTATTTTGTATTAATTCTATCTAATAACTAAGAAGTAAAACTCCTTAGGATCCCAATCAAGATGAAACACTTTGCCTGTATATACTGAACAAAAACAGACAATAAATCGATTACACAGTATTTTAATTAATAATAATGTATATTAATACACTAGATAATAATTAGGCAGATCTCTACACAAATTGCATATATTTGTACCAGAAAAACTGCTTCAGCCATTGAATAAAACTATCAAATTCTTATCCATTTCTTACGCAATACTAAACAGTAACTGAATGGAGGTCTAGGAAAACTGCATATATTCTACTAGGGTGTAATTGAAGAAATTATCGATTATATGAACAATAAACCGATAATTTAACATTTTTCTCTGTTATCTCTATCGCTACGATTCTTATTTAAAGTGAATAAATACACGTGAGAACTGTTTAATGTCTCAGTATGCTTATAAATAATTACTCGCGGAAATTAATTATTCGCGTAGCCTTAAAATGATTCAAAGAGAATAACGTTTCAAGAAAATATACCGAAAGACCCTCTAGCTACCTGCTGGCTCAAGTGCTGTCGCGTGAATGATAATAGCTGGCTGGCTCGGTCGGCGTACGCGCTACGCAGCGATACACAAACACCAGCGGTCAAGGGCATGCGCCAATCGATGTGTGTGTGTGTGTGTGCGCGTGTTGCTCCAAAATAGTTAATTCTTCATAACATAAATTTAATTTAAAACGGTCGATCATATAATTTTATAACTCTTCAGGATGAAAGAACTTCGTTGCGCGAATATAAGCAAGCACGATAATTAATCCTTAGAATAGGCCTCTCAGGTATTGTACTATATAATTACAGGACGCTTCGTATTTGCATGTGTTTTATAATGGAAGTCAATTAATATTTAATTTATCCGAAAATATTTTATATCTACTCTAAGTTCGTATTTGTTAACGTATATAAACGTTGAAACGTATCTTATGTTTTCTTTATAAGGCTATTTGTTCATTGGAAATGTTTTAATGTTGCCAGTATCTCTTTCGAATATACATATGTGTAATTTTAGAATTATAAAACTAACATATTCACAATTTAAATCAATAATAGACCTAACTAAATGTTCAACCGGAGCTTAAGAAACGTAGCTTTATCATGCCGACAATTTATAAGATTACAGATAATTGAATATCCTGCCGGGCAAAAAATAAATTAGTGAAAGTTCGTTAATAGTACATTCTTCCATGCATAAGAATTGCTTTAAGTGCCACCGGATGAGCAGTGCGTTAATGGACGGCTGAAAGAGGTTGCTTTCGCGCAAAAAAGAACGGAGGGTCCATTCCATACACGTTAAATTGCTGTGCGATCCTCCGGATACAATGACGATCGAAGAGTCGAGTAGAAAAGGTGAATCGAATCCGTTAATCGGCTTATCGAGCGACTGGAACGATATTTTGAATCAGTCGATGTATAATACGTCAAAGAACCAAAATGCTATATGCTCAACACGTATCATTTTATTGACGCACGATCATGTTCAGAATCTTTTGTCGTATAAATCGAAATTTTATATCAAGTTCATTACAACAATTTCATTAAATTACACGACTAGATTAATAATACACGAGTCACATATGTATAATTAATTAAATGAAGAGAATAACTTAGCTATAAATATTTATACTGTGTAAAACAATACTTTTATAAGCCTTTACTCTTTTCATTGTAATTTCAAGTAGATTTAGTTTTATTAAAATTTTAAATTGATTTTATATGATTGATTTAGTATTTTAATTTTAGATTTTCAGAAATTCTTAATATTAAATAATAAAAATATGTAACAGAAAAACTTATTAAAATTTATTCCAAGCGAAGATTCGTTCCAAAATCTTTTTAAAAAATCTTAAATGTTCTAAGGAATAGTAAGTATATTATACATATTAAATATGTTTATCAAGAGAAGTAATCAAAATCATTTCTAATATATTTAATCTAAAATGGTCACTGTATTTAAACAATAGCGAAAGTATCTAAAATGATTTATATGTATATAAATTTCGAACAAAAATCTTAATAAATTATATTAAATTCTTATCGCACGATATCTTACACGTGACACAACAGCAATGGAAGGCAGGAAATGAGTTCTACGCAAGCCTTTAGCTATCTTGATCGTGATGAAAGAGCGTAACATTTGCCCCCCGTCGTCACGACATGTTTTCCAACGCCACACTTTTCATGTATCGCCCAATTAATATTCTATCTATTCTGATAATTGATATGCTGCAGGTGACGGCATGAAAGTCTCGAAGAACGAACGGATTCGATTATTTACATTCGTTTGGAAGATAAAAACCATGTCGTAATCGCGTAAGTGAGGTGAACGTTCGAAACCGCTACATTCTTTATTCTGCGCGAACACATTTTCGCTAGTTGAGCAAGACTATCCTATATTTTTTATATCCTATATTTATTATATCATTACTAATAAAGTTTAAGATGGTATAATTTTGAACATGGTACACTTCTGAACGAAATCATATTTAAATCTAATTTTCGAAGTTCACGTTTGATTTTTTCCTTTTTGATACCCTTCAGTATCCTCCATATAAAGAGAGGATTAACTTTGAAAATTGAATTTAAATTTTATTTCGTTCAAAATTGTATCATGTTTAAAGTTGTATCATCTTATCCTATATATGCTGTGACAATAATACGAATACTAATATAAAAGTATTTGAAGAGAAACAGAACAATATTTTATACATATTATATGTAATAATTCTTATTTAAAAAAAGAACGAGAAATCTAATGAAAAAAAACCAAAAATCTATTGGGATGTTGAACATTCAGAAAAATAGAACGTATCGTTGTATGTAAGAATCGAGTAAAATTAATAGAGAAGAAAAAATGATTAGAAACTTGTTTCGAGTGATAAGAAACGTGTCATAGTACAATCGAGTTGGAATTTTGTTACACTGGTTAAATCGCAACGAGAACTGGTTCGGTACCGTTGCGAAATGGGACAGGAGGATAAATTGTCGTATGCCTGATCCATTTCCGCAATAAGCAGATTAGCAGCGGAATGTTAAGTCGCAAATTGTAATCGTGTTCGAGATCAATGTACTGTTATTAAATAAATGCGATTATGCTTTTCATTTGGACAATAATCGATGACATCGGGCAAACTGGCAACATTAAACAGAATAGTCACGCGTAATTGTAAAGATATAACGGATTTTCCTCTTTATTATTACTACTCTAATCGCGTCAGATTGAGGCAGTAATAGAAGGGTACAAAATATGCTGTACCGGTTCGAGCTAATGGCTTTTTAACGAAGCTAGGCGCTACGGAAATAGAATATCTAGGATCATAAATTTTACAACGAACCGAGTAATCTGTTAGTCAATTATTTGACAAGAAAATCATAAAGTAATTCTAAATAAAATAGTAAAATTAAAACCTTTCAATTTTATGCATCAGAAACTAAATATTTTTATTTTTCAAGAATCTTAGCTTTCAGAAACTAAATATTTTTATTTTCCAAAGATCGTTAACCTTTATTCAGTCAATAAATAGGGAGATATTTAAAGATTTGATTAATCGGTGAAAACAAGCTTCAAAATATTTTATTCTTGAAAACGTTGGAAGCGAAAGTATATAATCATTTATAGAAATAATATGGCTGTAGGGCAAATAGATCGAAAGAATTACGAGCGTTAAAGTTATCAATCGTCAGAGTTTCATGAAAACGTAAGACAGCGAAAGTGCGCTCGAGTCGAGAAACCAACGATTTCTAACGCATCCATCAACCATTTCATCAAGAAGCTTGTTATTACGATCACTCTCGCGATCAGAGCAGCTTCTTCAAAGAAGCATAAAGAAAATAGTATCCTGCACACCTTTCATCATGGATTATGTTCGTTTAAAAATATATGCGAGAATAACGTCTTGCGAATCAGAGGTTCTTTATATCCCGACGAGTGACATCGATGCGCTTTTCAGAACAGGCGAGAGGTCTTCGAAGTATAATAGGAATTAGGAGAAATACGTAAGATATGAGATCATTTTCACGGTGAGAGCGACTGAGAGAAAAAGTAGAATACGGAAAAAGAACGAGATTCCTATAATCTCATTTTTTTTACCTCCGTAACACTCTTATGAGCCCACTTACCGCTGCGGCGGCACTTCTGATCCACGAATTTCGAGATCCTTTCTCGCTTCTCTTCCATTCTCCGCCTCTCGCCCACTCTTCTTTTCCTCTCCCCTATCTCGGTTCAACCACCCGCCCCACCCTTTGATATGCTACAACCCTCGGCCCGATTCTATGAAGGCCCATGACGGCACTATGACAGGCTCACAATAAGGCCATACAGAAGACAGCCGGTTTTTTTTCTCTATACGCGAGCGCATGTCATAATGCGGTGATTCGGGTTCGGTCGCCGTTCTATATATGGGGGCAGTTATTTATATTTGCGCATGGGGTGTATACATGCACGTGGGGCCGTAAACGTATCGGAATTCAGGGCCAATCTCACCTGGCACTTCACGTGCTTCGGCGCGAGAAACGCAACCCGTGGATTCAAGCGGATCTCTGTAACCGAACGAAGGGCCATGATGCTCTGAGAAACGGGAACTAGGCGAAACCCGAGCTAAGCGACTTTCGCATTGACGCGCCAACGAATTTTTCCGGAGCAATGAGTATATAACGTGTGTGTGAGTCTCTCTTCTCTTTTCTGTTCCAGCGAGTTGCTGCGGTGTCGGCGTGGAGGATTCGAGCGTGCCCGATGCCAGCGGACCTACGGGGGCGGGTGGTACCGGCGGCGGGGGAGCTGTCATACCCGATCGGCCGCCTCTCGAATTAGACAAATTACCGCCTTATCACGACGTAGCGCCTAGTCCCGGTGAGTGTTATTACGAAACGCCTGCTGTTCGACGCTTCTCATACATATGCGTACGCGCCGTCGAGAGAGATCATTGAGAAATGGCTGCTCGTTACTCGCATGTTCCCGTCACGTTACATGTATTGCGATCGCGAACGCGGTAGCACCATCTCTCACTAACTGTACATCTCATTTCGTTCGCGAAAGAAAGTTAAAGCTTATAGAACCGGATCTCGCGACTTGTTCTCAACGATGTTTCCAACTAGCTCTGCAAAATCTCTTACATTATGAAACAAACTCGTATCTTGTAATGAGACATTGCTAAACAAAATATTGAATACAAGAAGAAAAAGAAAAAGAATGAAAATGAACCCATAAATCAAGTATAGTTGATAACTACACGGAAAGATTGATTTTGCTGAGGTATTTAAAAATTTAGGTAGATAGAGATCTGAAAATAATTTTGTTGGATCATCAAAATAATTATGTAGAAAACTCAAGCATGATGTGCAATGTTACAAAAAGTTTTAACGTTCTAGCAATCAATTTGAGTGCCCTGTATAATTATTTTAATAGTCCAACCAAATCATTTTCAGATCTGTATCTATAACTAAATTTGTAGATATACTTCAGCAAAAAGATTCTTCGCTCTTTCCGTGTATCTTTCGGAAAGAAATTAAATTCGTGTTTGAAAAATAAAACTTAACTGATTGATGAAACAAAACAATTTACAAAAAACAGAAGTCTTCTTTTCACCTCTTATTTGTTTAGATAAAATCACATTAGGTTCACTCATATTCTTTTTATTGTTAGGTGAACTTCTTGCACGATTCATCTTTCCTCTTTTTCTTTTCACATTGGAAAGAAAAAAAGAAAAGAGATGAATCGTGTAAGAAATTCAACTGAACAGACTGATATTTAAGACCGCATGTCGCAGTGATTGTTCTTTTATCATTAACATGCTGCCAAGATATGTTAAGAAAATATACTAATCAGCATGGGTCTCAAGTTGTGGATGAAATCGAACTTTAGGGCACAACGTGTGGTCGTGGCTGGGCTCTCGACGAGGCGGTGGCACCCCGGGAGTCGTCACGACACCGCTCTCCCTTCCTCAGCACCGACGGGCGATGAATCTCCCAGTCGAGAATCACTACACCCACATGCAAACCGACGAGGCTCTATACGCGGAACTGGACTCGCAGGCCGCGAGCTACGCGAGCGATCTACAGTTACAAATGAGAGGAAGTTCGACGTACGGTACAACTTCCGGCGGCCAGGACGACGAATATCACGAACTGGACGCTGCCAGATTACATCGTCATTATGGAGGTAGCGACGGATCGCTACAGACAGATACACTTCGTACTCGACATAGTAAAAGGTGAGTCAAATTTCAGTTTTATAGAAGTTATTAAATATACGAAAAGAATGACTTTGTTCTAAAGTATCTAAAAATTTAGCTGCATACGAATCCGAAAATAGTTTCATTGAACCATCAAAACAATTACGTAGGAATCTCAAGTATGATAAGCAATGCTGCAAAAAGATTTGACATTCTAACAATCAGCTTGAGCGTCTTATATTATTTTGATAGTCCAATAAAATTACCTTATCAGATCTGTATCTAGTTAAATTTTTAGATACTTCAGCAAAACCGTACAAGAAGAATTGTGTGTTGGTCGTCTTAAATAAAAGAATTACATTAGAAACATTAAATTAATGAATTTAAATTTTAAAGAGATAAAGGAATTGATGATCGTTAAATCCATAAAATTGTTATTAAAAAAAAATATCTAAAATAATTTATTGTTAACTGATTTTTTAAATCGATTAATGAGGCACATGGCGATTTCGAAATCGGAAGTCAGTAATCATACGCAATGGTCTATCGTTTCTCGACTTCCTAGATCGATAACGAGCTCAATACTGACTTTGTTCTGGCAACGCCTTCTAAGAGAGCCTAATTGCCTGTTCTAACAACGCGCTCATCCGACACGCGTCGCCGCGTAATCGCCAGTTATTGATACGCTTTACGTATGTTAATGGCACATTCCAGTCGAATAATCATCCAATGATTATCCAGAGCCTCGTTATCGGCTTCCAGGATACAAGAGCCGGACTACGAGATGTACGAGAATGGACCGTCAACGCCAGTACCACCGGGTCAACATCAACATCATCATCGCCATCATCATCACCACAACCATCACCATCATCAGGAACTGAGGATTGGTAGCAGAAATAGCGAGCATCCGTCATACCAGAACACGGCCTACACCGGAAGCGATGCCGAACCGGATGGGCCAACGCTGAGCAGTGCTCCCAGCAGTGCCTATTACAGCGATCTCAGCTCGAATTCAGCGAATCAGCAGATGCCGACAGCGACAGTACCTTCTGCAACAGCGACGACGACGACGACGATAACGACGACAACAAACTTGCACTTAAATCCACAGAATCTGGACACGCCGCAGTATAGACTAGCGGCAATCAACGAGAACACAGTGCCTTCGGATTATATTTAAGATATGATCTTTTCAAAACAGGTGACGAGAAGTTTGAAATAGACAATTATATCGATGTGCGTTCGCTTTGTTTGTGAACGAGGAGAGTCTTTGCGTAGTATTTATAATTTAACTCGAGGAAGTTGTCCTTATAATAAAAAGTAGGAATGAACGGAGGTGAGATCAGTGGGGAGGAAAGTGTGAAATTTTTCGTCACTGTCGTCGTGACTCGAAAGTTTCTTCGAGACAATATGTTTCACGGTGCTCAGTTTTAAGTTTTGTCCGTACAAGAGGAATTGAAAAAATCACATTTGGTAAAAGTGTTATTTAACCAGCGGATGTCGAAGACCGGTTCCGAATAAAATGAATTTCTTGCTCAGTAACGCTCTACTTACTCCTTTGTCGCCACACTTTGTGGTCCTCTTAAGACAATCGACTTTCGAGACACGCGAATCGACGGATCAAGCGACGCGAATCGATCGGCATCGCGGCGCGTTCTCCTTTGCTTTTACGCGCTAATAAAATACTAGGTATTCGATGTCTTGATACTTTTTTAACAATGTAAGACAAGCGGAAGATAAACCGGTTGACAGGTAAGTGACCAGAGAAAATCATGCCGACGGAATTAATACACGATTAAGCACTATTTTCACGAAGTCAACAAAACCTACTCTCTCTTCGAATGAAATCTCACTCCAAAAGAATTAAAACACTGCTACTACTAAAAAAAAAGTGAAAAATTTGCACTATTGAATAAGAGAGTGGCAGATTTTTACTCTTTTTTAGAGTTTCACTTCAAAAAAAAAAGGAGTGGGATTTCTTTCTTTTGAAATGAATCTCACTCCAAAAAAAAAAGAGTGAAAATCTATCATTCTTATTTAACTCTTTATCAATAGTGGCAGTATTTTAACTCTTTTAGAGTGAGATTTCACTCCAAGAAATTTAAAGAGTATGATCTTGAAAAAAATGATCGTATTGCTAACCATCATAGCCGCAACTGAACACGCAATTATGTTATAATATTGATAAATTTATGTGTTCACTTTTGCCTGAGATGGCACTCGGATATTTTGAGTATCTTATAGTATCGACTCAGGCGTGACGTTCGATTTCCACTCGGTAAACGTAAAGCAAAAACGTAATAATACCGCGCACGAAGAATCGCGCGTTGCGGTTTCCAATCAGTAATAACACGTTGAGATATAAATTGATGCCGCCCCGACGTTCCTGTGAAAGTCAACCAGTACTAGGCGAAAAAAATGGGGACCCCCATTATTTCTGCCACCGTTCATGTCAATCAGAGAAGGGGAAGCGAAATTTCAGACCTACATTATGTGAGTAATCGGCGGCAACGCATAAAACATCGTTCTGTTCAAATTACTGCAACTACATTGATGGGATAAGATTGCATATAGCAAAAGCAACCTTGCATTAAATTTGATAGTTCATGTAAGAAATAAAAATGACATGAATTGTAATGAATTGAAAGTGAAGCTGGAAATTGGGAAATTGCGGTAAACAATTTCGATCGACATTTTCGTCAAGAAAAAAAATTCATTTTAAATTGACCACAGAGTTTCCGATTAACAAGTAAAGCAATAAGAAATAAAGTGACTTGTATGTGTCTTGACTGCTGCACAGAAGCAGACTTAGGCGCGTTCTACGAGATTCTAACGCATTAGAGGGTTAATTCGGAATCTAATCGGGTATTTTCATGAGTATGATTGTAGACATTACCGAGAGGAGAAGCCGCACGGTAGATTTGAAATGCCTACACGATACGAATGAAATGAAGTCGTTTTGAAGAGCAGGTGCCCCGTAATTTGACGTTCGGGGTTGCCAGTCAGCCCTCGGCTACATCCGTTCGCGTTCTCTAAGCGTCCGCCGCCACGGCGTTCTCAGCCAGCATCCTTCCATGCTTGCCGCGCGCAAATGAGGTCTCGTTTTCACGTGCGTGCCTCGATTATGGAAAATTGCAGAATTCCGTGCCGCGAAGTCGGCGGATCATGCTCAACGAAATACGTACGATACTCGCACGAAATATCTTGGCGAGCATTTTATTATATTATTTTCTGTCTTTTATTCTATATACCAGAGATGGAATAAACAGCGCATAATACAGCGCATAATACAGCGACCAATCACAGATGTTATTTTTAATGGCTAAATTTAATGGACTGCTTGTTATGTCTATATACTTCGTTGACTTCGTTGTCTGATTCGTTGAATTTCGTGTGCTAAAGTAATCAGGATAACAAAAGCGTTTCTTTTTTTAGCGGGAGACGGAAGACACGCATTACGGCAAACGAAGTTTGATGCTCACAATAAAATTGTCTTCATGACCTTGTCGTGTAATAAATTGTGGGAAATATTTCTGGTAACACACTGAATATAATAGTATGGGTCGTTCGAGAAATTGTATTTTCACATATCATGCGAGGGATTACCGTTCAAGCACTAAATAGTTTCGGTCTTGGCGATGTATCAGTTTCAATCGTTTATCGATTCCCGATCGACGGCGGAATTAATTCGTCTCGCTCGATTCGGCGGGAAATCGTTTAATCGTCGCCGTCGTGTTCTCTTAATTACCTTTTCAAGCGAAGCCGATTGTTCCTCACGTTCGAGACAACGTTCGAGAGAACCCGAGAAGACGCGTTCTCTCGCTTCGCCTCGAGATTCTCCCGTGCGCGTTTCACGTCATTCACCTTTAACTCACCTGTGCTCATGCACACATATACGTACAATCGACCGAACACTCTTCGAAACATAAGAGAATGCCCGTGCTCACCTAAACGTGTCTCGCTGTACGTATATATGAAAATAACTTTAGAACCACTTTTCTCCAAGTTTCTAGTTACTGCGCGCTTATCTGAAGAAAATACGAATGAAGGAAATCCTATTATTGGAAATTGTGTTCTTCATAAAGAGCAATAAAGCTCGCTATAAAAAAAGTGACTAACTGATACAATGTGAATTTATTTTCGGTAGTTGAAAGTGCGATTGTCTTGTCACTTTTCATGTAATTCCTAATTAACGAACACCCAAAGAAAAAGACATAATGGTAGCAATTATAAATATAGATAACGATTATACAAGGTTTATTTGTGGAATTAATTCACACAGTTGAATAAACTATTTTATAATTACTATAACTATAAAACAGTTTATTCAACATTTTTTACGTATATATACATTAATTCCGCAAATGAAACTTATATAATTGTCAACTTTATAGTCGCTACCGTTATTTTTCTCTGAGTAAATGGCATGCCTCGTTCTAAATATTCTGATATTTTTCATTTTTCGCAGAGGAAGTTCTGCATGTTCTATAAATATCCGTAATCTGTAACTCTCGTTATCTCCGGTTAATTAAAGAAACAGAACGTGTTGAACATTGCCCTTGAAAACGACTTTTTAAGACTGGTTGTTTTCTAAATGATCGAAACACATGAGAGTATCGAGACGCATAGCCAGGAGGTGTATGCAACGCGAGCGTTCAACAACACAGACGCAACAATGCGTTCCTTCTGTGAATACGCTATAATTAATCGTGCCCTCGCGGCCACAATGGCGGCAGGGAGAGCCTGAACAACTCTCGGTGCTGCACTATAGCGCCGAAAAAAATATCTCATGACCGCATTATGTTGTTGAGCCCGGGTAATCCTTATCACGGCCATGTTACGTATTATGGAATTCGTTTAATTAAAGCCCATCTCGTTTCTCATCGCGCGCCTTCTGCATCTGCATCGCGCGCTGGAACTCCTAGCAGGCTCGCGTGTTTATAGATAATTTGAACTCGCAATCTGGAAGACCACTATTCGCATCTTTCATAATCCCCCCGCGCGTCCAGGTAGATTAGTTCGGTTATGTCGCTACTTATCGTGGAAAATCTCCTAACGATATTGCTCTTCGTTATGATAAGATAGATGCGAAATCCGCAAACCACCGCGTGTGTTAATCTATCTCGCGTAATGTGAAAATATCAAGTCTCTCATATATGATACTTGTGCAATTTACCATCTGGACGATCACTTTAAACCGCGCGAATACAAATCATCCTACACTGTAAGTTATCAAATATTTTTTTTTTTCAGTTTTGCTACTTCTGCTTTATAGAAATATTCTATATCCGGAATCGCATTGAAGCTTAGATCAACTTTCTAACGTGTGCAATCTATTAAAATAATACTTAATATTTTGTATAAGATATTAAAATAATAGAAGCATCAATTGCTATTTTTTATGAGACAACAAACATAATAAGAAGACTGAAGTTTTCTATCATTATTAGTGACTAATAATAGGTGACATGATAACCTATAAGTGACAATAGCATGCAAATTAGAAGTTTTTTATAATGATTATATTTCATAATTATTGCATTCTAAGCGTTTATCAAGCGTCATGTAATCATCAAATTTACATCAAGAAATGTTCGCGAATAAAGATCAGGTTTCAATGCAAAAAATGAAAGTACAAAATAATGATCGCATCCGTCCCGTATAACCGGCTTAACTTCGCTTGACGCGTTTAAGCGAGAAGAACGCATGTCGTCCGAAAAACGCACACGCAAAATTTCCGAAGAGATTTTCGAGCCGATCGATCGACGTCGCTTAACGATCGTGGGAATTCACGCGACTGGATTCTTGCAAATTTCTCTCGAGCTGGACTCCCTTTTACAATATCTTTCTGTATTAGGATAGCTCGCACGGGATTCGACGGACGTCCCAGAACGATCATAAGGATGGCCCTGGGCCCGCCCTGGTCGGACGTACCGCATGTTCGGACCATGGGATATATAAATTATACATGTAAATATACGAGCGGCCAGCTCGAGAGATCGAATTGTGAGATATCGAGATGTGTTGGCGATTCCCGCACCTTTCTCTCCCTTCATAGATCCCTCCTTGCCCCTCAAACCTGAGTTCGCACACATATGCGCATGCAGGCAAAAATTCACGCACTACATGTCGAATGTTTCTGTCGTTCTTCGCGAATCACGACTTGGGACATTACCTTTATCCTATGCATGTTTCATTGGTGATGTCGATTTCGATTATGAATTACAAAGATCTTAAGAATTCTACGAATTGGAACACATACGTACATTTTATCTTTTTTCATTAAAAAAATTAGCACAAACAGAATCAGTGATATAAAAGTATTTTCCCTGTCGATAAGCTATAAGTACAGTTCAATTAAATCACTATTTTCTCAGATTGAAGTACTAGTTGGAATATATATATATATATATATACAGAAATGAAAACTTAATAACTTTTACTCTTCTGTTAATATTCATTTTGATTAATCTTTATTTTTAACACGCAATGATTTCGGA